CTTCTGAAGATGAGACGGTCTTCTCAATTGAAAGGAGCCAGTTGCCCTCGATGAGTAATGGTCGCAGGAACTTCCTCAGAGAATTCTCTCGTAACAAAAACTCAGGCAAGCCTCTTCTTAAAAATTTCCAACTAGAAAAGAAAAACATTCCTTACGCAGAATAAATTCACCAATTAAAAAAATGCACTTACAAATATACACACAAACACAACTCTCCAATTCCTAGCAATTTATTTGAGTTTTGTACTATTTCTAATTAACAATCAATATTTCTATCTAAAAATGGAGCTAATCTATCTGCATGCACTACTTTCTTCCGATGTCTGGGTGTCTTCTGAATGCAGTACACCACATCGTTGAATTTCTTTACAATAGAGAAAGGTCCTTCCCAATTACTCTGTAAACTTGGGAGCTCTACCTTTAATTCTTCGAGGGTTATAAAACCAGACTCTCTCTCCCCTTGAAAAAGAATCTGTCTAACTCCCTTATCGTACCAACTCTTCACCCTAGAAGATCTAATATTCATCTTGTCTCTAATTTCGGAATGGATATCATTTAACTTTCTTTTGAGAGTATTAGCGAAATTTTCTATCGAAGACGGCTCTTTTTCTTCTAATCTAGGAACATTTCCTGCAATAGATCCACTGGAAGTCTTAGATCTCGAGCGAAATATAATTCCGCAGGAGTCATCCCAGTGGTTTCGTGCTTTGAAGATCTGTAAGCTAGAAGAAAACATGGGAATCCACCGATCCCAATCTTTTTGATTTTGTGAAATATACTTCGCTAGATAATTGATTATTGTTTGATGTTGTCGTTCGACCTGACCATCAGACTGAGGATGCAACGCAGTAGTTCGCGTTTTCCTAATTCCGAGAAGCTTCATTATTTCAGCGAACAGTTTCGATTCAAAATTCTTCCCTTGATCGGTATGTACTTCTAAAGGTACTCCATGTCTTGAAATAAACTCATAAATGAAGATTTCTGCCACTGTCTTTGCTCTAATATTCTTCAGGGGAAAAGCTTCTACCCATTTGGTGAAGCAATCTACGATGACAATTAAATATCTGTTTCCAGAAAAGTTATTGGAAGTGGACCTAGGATATCCATTTGAATTCTTTCAAAAGGACTTCCGACATTATAGATCTGCATAGGAGATTTTCCTTTTCCTGTGGGGCCTTTCTTAGAAATACAGACCTTGCAAGATCTGCACCAATTTTCAATGTCTTGCTTGTAAGTCGCCCAATAAAAGCGTTTTCGTACCTTTTCTAAGGTTTTGTTTACACCAAAATGACTCCGAACGGAGAATCATGTACTTCCTCAAGGACTTGTTTAACTCGCTTTCGAGGAACAATCAATTGAAGAAAACTAGACTTCAAATTCGGAGCTTCCCACTTCTTGTAAAGGACTCCATTCTGAAGAATTAATGCATCCCAATAAGTCCAATAAATTTGAGCAGAAATGTCACGAGTCACGAATTCAGAACGAGATGGTCGTGTTTCTTTCATTTTTCCCTGAATAAAAACGGCAATGTCAGGATCTTCTTCTTGATCTTTACGCCATTCTCCCAGATCTTCTGTTTGGAATATAAGTCGTGCAACCATTTTCTCGTTTTCAGACGTACTCTTTATCTCGACCTTGGCACAATATCCACACCCATAAGTCTCACATAGTCGTCTGGACAATCCATCGGCATTCTTGTGAGATTCTCCTTTCCGGTGTTGTACTTCGAAGTCGTATTCTTGGAGTTTTTCCAACCAACGAGCTAGTTGCCCTTCCAAATCTTTAAAAGACTAAGCCATTTTAAGGAAACATGATCAGTACGAATCAAAAATCTTCGACCCAAAAGATAATGTCGAAAACATTTAATAGCACTGATAATTGCTAATAATTCTCGACGAGTAACACAATAATTCCGCTCAGTTTTGCTAAGAACTCGACTAAAATACGCGATAACCATTTCCTTCTCATCCTGTATCTGTGATAAACACTGCACCAATTCCGAAGTTTGAAGCGTCAGTATCCAAAATAAATTGACTTTTTCTTTAGGAAAAGATAACACTGGGGGAGAAGATAACATTAATTTCAAGTTTGAAAAGCACTATCACATTCGTCGTTCCAAAAAAATTAATTTGATTTCCTGTTAAAGCAAAAAGAGGTTTAGCTATTGAAGAAAACCTCTAACAAACTTCCTATAATACGAGCAAAATCCTAAGAAACTACGCAATTGTTTTTTAGTATGTGGTACTGGCCAATCTTTAATAGCAGTTATTTTTTCTGGGTCGGTGGTAATGCCCTGTTCGGAAATTACATGTCCAAGATATTTTACGTTTCTTTGGAAAAGCAAACATTTCTTTGGATTAATTTTAAGATTTGCTCTCCGTAGTCGCAAGAATACTTCTTTAAGGTTTTGAAACATTTCAACAGGAATCTTTTCCAAAAATGATGATATCGTCTAAATAAACTAGACACTTTTTCGAAATCAATCCGTTTAAAACCTTTTCCATAAGTCTCTGAAACGTCGCGGGAGCGTTACACAAACCGAAGGGCATGATCGTAAATTGCCAAAGTCCCTTACCGATAGAAAAAGCTGTCTTTTCTTTGTCTGAAGGACGAATCTTTATCTGCAGTAACCACTTTTTAAATCAAGCGTAGAAAACCAAGTGTTACCTGATAACTGATCCAAAATGTCGTCAATTCGAGGGAAGGGATAGGAATCTTTTACCGTGATAGTGTTAAGTTTCCGGTAATCAACACAGAATCTCAGTGTTCCGTCTTTCTTTTTGACCATAACAGCCGGCGAAACCCAAGGACTTTGAGATTCTTCTATGATTCCTTCTATTTCATCTCTTCCATTATTTTATCAACCTCATCCCTCTGAAAAGGAATCCTACGGGGTACTGTTTTATGGGGAGAGAGTCTTTACATTTATGACATGTTCAATAATATTGCAATTCCCAGCAACAATATTACAGGAGAATAGATCTTGAAATTCATTTAGAAAATTTACAAAGGTTTCTTTCTGTTTTTTCTGCAAATGAATCGAGCTCTTTTCGAAAAGTTCTTTTAAAATAGACGGGATTCCTTTTGGAAAATTCTCTATTCTTGAACATTGAAAATCTTTATCGTCAAAAATGGATTTATTAAAAACTTTATCAAAAACGTTTTCCAAATTAATCATTTTAAGAAAATCCATTCCCAAAATACATTGATCATTAATTTCAGCAACTAATAACGGAATTTCAACCGAATAATTTCCGATTTCAATTTTTGTTTACACTAAAAATTCAATTAAAAATTTTTCTCCCGTCGGATATTTTAAATTAATATCATTGACTCGAATCTTTTCAAGATCTTCTCCCACTAATCTGCTATTTAATATGGAAACATCAGAGCCTGTATCTATTTTAAAAAGACACTCCTTTTTATTTAATCTACCAAAATACGAATAAGAATCTTTCTTAGAAATCCTTCTAACACTACAATCAATGAGATCAACAAAATCGGACGTCGGGGCGTTTTCTGTAAGAGTTGAATTTTCCCCGAAAAATTCAACTACCTCTAGTTTTCCTTCGCCTCAGGACATTGAAAAACGCAAATGTCCGATCTTCCCGCAAGACCAACATTCTTTCCCTTTGGCCGAAAAGTTGTTCGCTTGCGCTTTCTTTCCTTTCGAGTCAAACCGTTCGCTTTTCTTTTTTTGGAATCGGTTCGCGCGTCGCTCCTCTCTCCCTTTTGATGATTTTGACTTATTTTGCCGTAATTTCCTTTGTTACTAAAATTGTCTCTTTTTCTATCAAAACTATCCCCCTGAATTATTTTTATGGCCTTAGCTCTTTCTATAGCCAAATTTAAGGATGTAATTCCCTCCAGTTGAAGGGTTCTTTTGACAAACCCGTCTATTAATGCCGAGACAAATTGCGCGCATGCTATTTTATCGCGGACCGCATATGGACATTCGGGGTAAGCCAGACGCGACAGTCTCTCAAGTTCGGCTCCAAAGGAAGCGAAATCCTCTCCATATTTTTGTTTCCGTGTCGTAAAAAGATAGTAATAATTTTGCGTCAAGTTTCCGTCTTCAAAAAGCAACTCTAATTTTGATTTTAATTCCGCGAATGTTAATTCTTCAAAATTCTCAACATTTTCTAAAACGGACCGAGCTTTTCCCCTTAAATTTGCAGCGAGAGTAATCATTTTTGCTTTCTCATCCCAATTATTCGCGACGGCTATCAAAAGAAATTGGGAGAGGAACTCCCGCAGCGGAACCCTTCCATCGAATGTATCGGGCTTCAGTTTTAAGCCCGTTTTCGCACGAAAGTCACCGGTCGTCTCGCCCGCGTTTATCATGGCATCGCGGCACTCGCGGTACTCGCGCAAGCTAAATTCAGTCGTGTATCCCCAGAAGCTCTTATATTAGAAGGACTTAGCTGGTTAGTTTGCTGCGAGGAGATCCTCAATTCGAGCTGGTGCAGCTGTTCGTCCTTCTCTCGGAGAAGAGTCTCAAAGCGAGCTTGCTGATGTTCTCGTTCGGCCCGCATTTCTCGTAGTTCTCGCAGTGCGGTCTGCAACGCATCCGTCTCGTCTATCTCCTTCATCGTTGTTCGGGAACGCGTCGCTTTCGGCGAATGTTGAGTCGTCATTTTGGCGTTCTCTCAGGAAGATGCGATTCTTTCGGTTTTGATCCCGGACGAGCCCCCAAAATGTTGCGTCCTCGGGACGCCTCTCGCTCAGTCACTCACACACAGTCACTCTCACTCGCGCGCGAAATAAAGACACTCGCATAATAGGGAAATGAACTTTAATATGAGGAACCATTTGTTATATTTCATTGGTTTCGTGTATTGGTTCCTCATATTAAAGTTCATTTCCCTATTATGCGAGTGTCTTTATTTCGCGCGCGAGTGAGAGTGACTGTGTGTGAGTGACTGAGCGAGAGGCGTCCCGAGGACGCAACAATATATATATATATATATATATATATGGTATATATATTATATACATACTCTGCTCTTTGCACTCGCCACTTAGCGGTATTAACCAACCAACTCGATATTAACTCAGCAATCTGTGTATCACTTGATTCCGGTTTATGAATTCGTATCACTCCTATAAATAGGGAAAAAATCGATATTACTATAATGATACTAAAATATATGTATGAAAAATAAATATTTACTTACATAAATATTTTCCTACAATAATTCTTAAATAAACGTTATATTGATATAAAAAACGAAAATATCAAGATATATATTATCAGTAGTTTGCAAGAAAAAAAGAGAGTGAAATAAAAACTTTTTGCAAACTAAGTTTCAACAAAATGGATAATAAAATTATTTTTTCGATTAATTTCAAGCAGACTTCCCTTACGAAAAAAAACTACAAGCATACGAAAAATTACTGGTATACCAATAATATATTATTGAAGAACTATTATTGTATCAGTAATTTTTTCGTATTCTTGTAGTTTTTTTTTCGTGCGGGTTTAATAGAATTCTAATTTGGAGTTTATATGTATACAGTTATATAGATATGTCGAATATTAAAAAGTCACCATATATAAGGATTTTATCCAACAAATTGTCATATTAATATATATAATGTCAAATGTTAATGTATATATATTTCCTGAACAAATATATTGAGATATTTCATGCATTAATTATATATGTATATTTATAGTGTTTTCATATAAGTAAATTTTTTTATACTATGCATTACTATATTTAAACTTATTATTTTTGAGATTTTTATTAACTTTTTTGTGTTAAACTATGCATTGTGTGTGTGTGAATTAGTAACTCTATATAAAATATGTACTAACATATGTATTTCCTGAATAATTTTATATTGATATAATATTTTTACAAATATTTTTATGGAAATTTTTATTATGTTAATATGAAAATAAATATAACTTCATTATTGAAAGCATCAAATCTGGTACTAGAAATACTCTATTCTATAAACTCAAATATTTTAAGAACAATTTGTGAATAAGGATAGTCTCGTCTATGTTTTGTTGTTTTGAATATGGCAGAATCGATTGTTTGAGTTTCATGTAATACTCACTCTTCACAATTGAGCATAATTTTAGAGCACTAAAATTTTTCTTGTTTCGTTGTCCTAAATAACTGAAAGTCTGTGCAAAATGGTCGCTTAGTAACTTTTTTAACATATTTGGGATTATATTGGACAAATTCACTCCACCCACTTGTTTCAGCGTGTTTACCTAGAGACAAGATAGAGAAAAGAAGAAATTCGTTATTAATTTAAAATATGAAAATTATCAACTAAAATTATATAAAAATAAAATCTCGACGGCAATCGGAGCCTATGCGGATGACATGCACAAAATTAATAAATTAAAATGAGATCTCAAGTCAAACTCATTTATTAAATTCTAAACGTTTCGACCCACTTCGGGTCTTCTTCAGTAGCTGCAAAATACAAAGAAACAAAAATAGAAGATAATCGGTACAATCAGAAAATTATAAAACTCGTATACATACAATCCGCAAATAAATTAAATATCATTCTCCTCCCTATTCAAACCGTCCGGCCGTCGGAGTGTCTCCCTAACGGTGACCATCGTCAGGAAGGAAGCGGAGCAGTGACTCCCTTACCAACACTAATCAACATGGTATAAATTAAACGTAGAACAATTCACAAGAATTAAAAATTAAGAACCGGGAAGAACACTCACCCCGACAGCAAAAACAGAGAGAAGACGATGCTACACGTGACACATCACTCTAACGACTGTGCGGTATTCTACCTCGACACAGTCGATACATATATACGCAAAAAACAAATATAAAAATAAAATATGAAAATAAAAATAAAAATAAAAACAACTAAACTAATCGGCACTCATGTCAAAAGTCTAACAAAAAAACCCGGCTATGTAAAATCACAAAGCTAGATTTTGGTAAATTTTTCTATTAACAGATCAAGATTCTCGTTTAATTTATCAGTGTCGCTATGTAAATTTAAACTATTCCTCTGACGTTTTATGTGGATCATTTCGGAGTTCGGTATTTTGCAGCTACTGAAAAAGACCCGAAGTGGGTCGAAACGTTTAGAATTTAATAAATGAGTTTGACTTGAGATCTCATTTTAATTTATTAATTTTGTGCATGTCATCCGCATAGGCTCCGATTGCCGTCGAGATTTTATTTTTATTGTAACACAATAATTCGAGCCGAGATTAATAGTTTTTTTTATTGAATTTACGCTGGCTGTAATAATGCGTCCGTTGAGGAATTTCTTCCAATTTGTTGGACACAGTTTTAATTGGAGCGCGGTCAAACATTTGAAGGATTGGATTAAATTAAATAAGAGTCTGATTAGATTAAACTTGCGAATCAAATTTTTAAAAGATTGTTTAAATCAGGATGTTACACCGTCTCATCTGATGTTTCTTTCTCGTTATGCTAATAATTTATATCATTATAAGTCTGTATTGAAACACAAATTTATTATAAGACGTACTATTAAAGACATTTTAAGAAATGAAATTTATGATGCTCATAGACAGAAGCACAAAGTCAGATTAGATATTTATGAACTCGTTCGTTACATCATGATAGATCTCCCAGTGTTTTATTGTGATGGGTTTTTTGGTGAGCAAAGCAAATCATTACATTATTTTTATAATAAGGAGCGGGTTCGACTGGATGATAAATTTAGATGGCTCTTAGATAAACAAAATAAATTCAATAATAGGAATATCCGTCCTATCCAATATTATTACACGTGTACGAAAGAATTTTCTTCAAGGCCATGTGAGTCAGGGCCGTCTCAGTCTCTCAGCGTTTCCTTGAGCCCGACTTCCTTTGTTTCTTTAAATCCTGATGTTGCTGACAAAAGAGATAAATGGTTTTTAAATTTATCATCCGTATCGATACCGTATGAAATTCGAGATTTGTTGCGGTTAGGAGAGAATTTCTGTCTGCCAGTATTTGACAAAGATAAAACCACCATAGAGTTGTTGAAAAATATGGAACAAAATATTTTTAAACTCCCTGTGGAAAAACGATCTGCAGTCAGAAGTAGAGCCTTTCCCATAATAAATAAATTCCATATTTCCATGTCAGAAAAAGCTCACACAAAAAATAGTTTTTGTAAGGCTTACAAATTGACGGGTAAATTCATCCAAGACAATCCCGATATTTTATTTATGAAGGCGGATAAGGGTAATATCACGGTTGCGATGAACAGAGATATGTACATGGACAAAATGTGTGATTTGCTGGCTGACCGGGATACTTATACTGTTGTTAAAAAAGATCCGACTAGGAACCTAATTAATCAATTACACGGAATTTTAATGAGATGGAAAACGAAGAATTACATTTCTTCAACAACATATAAATCCCTGAACTGCACGGACGGGGTTTTACCGAGAGCGTATGGTCTGCCGAAGGTGCATAAACCGAATTGCCCTTTACGTGTCATCGTGTCATCTAGGAATACACCTCTTTATTACTTGGCAAAATTTTTACATAAGATAATATATAAGGCAATTCCGAAACCTGATTCGGCTATTTCTGATAGTTTCCAATTAGTGAACAAATTAAATGGTTTATGTGTGGATAGTGATGTGAAGCTAGTTTCACTAGATGTTACATCATTGTTCACCAACGTACCATTGGATATGGCTATTGATAGTTTAATTAACAGATGGGGGTATATTGAAAAAGAGTGTATTATTCCACGAGATGAATTTTTATTGGCAATTCGTTTTATTATGAACTCGACTTATTTTATGTTTAATAATGTATGTTATCAACAGACTTTTGGCACGCCTATGGGTTCCCCCCTCTCACCGATTATTGCGGATATCACGTTGCAAGATTTGGAGAGTAGAGCGATTGCTGCGATTCCATTGTCATTTCCATTTTATTTTAGATATGTTGACGATATCGCGTTGGCGGCCCCACCCTCCATGCTTAAAATAGTTTTAAACACTTTCAATTCTTTCCATCCTAGATTGCAGTTCACCATGGAGGAGGGGGTTGACAACCGATTGAATTTTTTAGATGTCACCATTATTATAAATAATGGGAGCATTGAGTTTGATTTGTTTCATAAGCCGACGTATTCAGGTAGATATTTAAATTTTGAATCGCAGCATCCTCTCTGTCATAAAAAAGGCACCATTATCAGCCTCATAGATAGAGTTTTTTGGCTATCTCATCCGAAATTCCATAAAGTTAACTTTGAGTCTATGATTGGAGTTCTTTTGTCTAATAATTATCCTCTCAATTTGATATTTCATACATTACAAGCGCGGTTAAAAAAGTTGTTCTTCCGCTATAATAATAAGTTGCATAACAATAGAGCAAATGTATGCAATGACAAGATTCTAACGCAGAAAAAAGTTTCGTACTTTAATATTCCGTATATTAATAATGTATCGAAGAGAATCGAGGACATTACACGTGATTTGGATGTCATTCCATCATATACAGCAATTAACAGTCTCCGTAAATTCATTAAAGTACACAAGGATAAGTTACCAAGAGAACTCCATAATAATGTAGTTTATAAAATTGATTGTATGGATTGTGATGCGTCGTACGTAGGGCAGACGGGTAGATTGTTGAAAACTAGGATGAAAGAACATCGCAACAACATAAAAAGAAACGCGTCACAATTATCAGTCATATCGGAACATAGATTATTGAACCATGAATTTAATTGGGAGGATGTAAAAGTCTTAGACGAGGAGCCTTTTTTAGGTAAACGTTTGATATCCGAAATGATCCACATAAAACGTCAGAGGAATAGTTTAAATTTACATAGCGACACTGATAAATTAAACGAGAATCTTGATCTGTTAATAGAAAAATTTACCAAAATCTAGCTTTGTGATTTTACATAGCCGGGTTTTTTTGTTAGACTTTTGACATGAGTGCCGATTAGTTTAGTTGTTTTTATTTTTATTTTTATTTTCATATTTTATTTTTATATTTGTTTTTTGCGTATATATGTATCGACTGTGTCGAGGTAGAATACCGCACAGTCGTTAGAGTGATGTGTCACGTGTAGCATCGTCTTCTCTCTGTTTTTGCTGTCGGGGTGAGTGTTCTTCCCGGTTCTTAATTTTTAATTCTTGTGAATTGTTCTACGTTTAATTTATACCATGTTGATTAGTGTTGGTAAGGGAGTCACTGCTCCGCTTCCTTCCTGACGATGGTCACCGTTAGGGAGACACTCCGACGGCCGGACGGTTTGAATAGGGAGGAGAATGATATTTAATTTATTTGCGGATTGTATGTATACGAGTTTTATAATTTTCTGATTGTACCGATTATCTTCTATTTTTGTTTCTTTGTATTTTGCAGCTACTGAAGAAGACCCGAAGTGGGTCGAAACGTTTAGAATTTAATAAATGAGTTTGACTTGAGATCTCATTTTAATTTATTAATTTTGTGCATGTCATCCGCATAGGCTCCGATTGCCGTCGAGATTTTATTTTTATTGTAACACAATAATTCGAGCCGAGATTAATAGTTTTTTTTATATAAAATTATATATATATATATATATATATATGAATATGTTATATATATAAAACTACATATTTACCATTTTATCTGCAAATGAGCTAGTTTTTAATAGCTGTTCTAATCGTTCTAATGCTTGCATATTTTGTAATGGAAGATCATACTCCTCATATAATATAGTATTGTTGACTGTTTCTTCCTCCCTATGCCGCATAATGTTTGATGTTTCTAGCAATATCATTCTATTTTCTAGAGCAGTCATTTTGTTAAGCAATAATTGTAATTTTCTTATAACCTCTTTTTGAAATTCTAAAAACATTAAAAAATTAAATAAATTAAAAATGCAAAATAACTAAAGTGCTTTTTTGATCGCTATGTGTTGTAATTATTTTGCTATGGTAATAAAAGATTCGTGCGCACTTATTATCTCTTATTATATATAATAAATACTGATGTAATAAACTAATAATTTTGAATATACATAAATATTTTCAAAAAATTTGTTAAAATATTAACCATTTTCTGCAGTTATTAATAAGTTTTTACTTCCAGTACACATGATATTTTTATCTTTCTCAGTCATTTTCGAGTTGCCATTTTCATCTGATAGATTGTCACAATATCTCCGTTCTGTTGTGTATCTATCATTTATTGTCGCTTCTTTATCTAAACTTTTATTATGCTTAGCAGAACTGATTTGGCATTCAGATTTTGAGCGTTCTATATGTATTGATGGCGGTGAAGCTAATTGACTTGCAGAAATCTTTTTATTGTTCGTGACACAAGATTTTTTGTAAGTTTAGGAAAGGGTAATAATTTGGTTGTTTTCTCACTAACGTCAGAATCAAATTCACACTCTTCTGACAAAGAAAAAATTTTTTTAGCTCGCATATGTCTTGATTTTTTTTCTTTGACGCATCTTTTGTCATCATTTTCTGTGCTTTCGTCAGCCGTCAAATCTGACATATTTTCAGCAATAAGTAGCTTCTCTTTTGCTTTTTCATATAAATCTGAAAATATAGATAGACATAAAAAGGATATTTAAAATCGACATATTTATAAATAATGTACATAATCGAATTTTTGAAAAATAAATCTAACTTGTTCTATAGAAGATTTTTATAACATCATATTTTTTCCAGTTTGAGTTATCTTCAGGAGATAATTGTGATGCAACAGCCTTTTTTATTTTTGTTGGATCCCGAAAAGTGGGATAAGCACATTTCATTTCACTCTCGTTTAACCAACATGAAGGTACTATTGCCAGGCCATCATCAAATTCTACGACAATGTAGATTTTCGAGGTGGCCATTTCTGCTTAAAGTAGATATTATAAGTTTTGTGAAGATAGAATCACACGTAATATAGAAGATCAGAATAAACTAAAAATTTTATTTTTTAGAAATAAACAAACGGGACTATATAAATAATAATTATAACAATTCTTCGAACTCTATACTCGTATATATATACACACTTAAACTATGCTGATTTTATAACTCATTCATATTTATAACTTATATATATTAATGAAATATATTTATAATTTTTATATTTACAAGTAAAGCGCGGATAAGAGCGTTATCGGAAATGCGAGCAAGACTATCCAATCGAAAACCTCCGTATGGCGAGGATTCTCGATTTGAAAATTTCGCTCGTGTTTCCGGTAGCATTCTTATTTATACTATAACTATTATAGTTATATATATTATCTATTATTATTAGATAAATTATTTTTAAATGTATGTATTAAGGGGCATATAACAAACTGATCGCCATACGGAATTTTCCAAGCTTTTGCTGCTATATAATTTATGTCCCATGCTTTTAAAGTTTGATTTTCATAATTTTCATTTACAATATTTATTTGTAAAAGTGAAGACTGAATAGGTACATCATATAAAACTTTTACATTTAATAGTTTTTTCCCAATCACAAATATAGTTTTATCTTCACTCTGAATAATATTTTCTATTTCTATGTACTCTCCATTTTCTAATATGCAGCAATTATTTCTTTTATCACAGCGGATTGTATATAATAAATTACACAACATTTTATATTGATTTTTAATATTCTTAATATTGTTTTCTAAAGGGCCATCAAAATGTTTATTATCTAAATATAATTCAAAACCTCTTATTTCATAATTCAGAGTATTTTCTTTAAATGTTTCATTTATATTTTCAATTTCACCAAATCTTTTTGAAATTTGTTGTAATGGTTTGTCTCCTTTTCTCAATAGTTTTTTAATTGTTGACATATAATTTTCAAACCTAAAGCAACTAAAGTTATCTAATATTCCAAATTTTCTTACATCTGCAACAAGATGTAGTAAATTATGTATATTATGAGATACATGTGCTTTATCATATAATTTTGCAAAAGAATCAACAAAGTGTTTCAATAAATTTTGAACATAATCTAAATAATAATTTTCCTCACAAAAAGTTTGATTACATAATATTGAAATAGCAATATGAAGCGTTAAAAAATGGTTATACATGTCTCTGTCTAATATATCTTTTAAAACAATAGGCCCTAAATATATGTTTTGTATATTTTCTCCTTTGGGTTTTTCGGAGCTATCGCCTAGTTCTCTCTTGTGGACTGCGTCGATAGGCAAGGATAGATAGCAGGAACTAGTCTCTTTATTCTAAGTAAGAATACGTAATTTTTATTCTTCGGATCACAAATGTTCTTCTCGGGTTTACCGGACGGCTCGTCGTACCAGACTCGCCTTCCGTGCCGCATCGCTCCTTTTTAAAGACGCGGAAACTCTCTCCTAATTCGGCGCTTCGCCCTTGTGGACGCAATAACAAACTGTCGATGTACACAATTACAGAGAGCTCTCAGGAGCGTATATCGAAGGCGCGCGGGGATCACGGAAATTTAATTTTTTCCCAAACATACCCCTCGGGTTGAATCGCCAAGGGATTCAAATGACAGTCAGGGGTAAATCCTTACACATTGAACTGCAATCATTGGAGACAACCTGCAGAATTTAGATTACGCTGAACCGTCCGGACTTACCGGCAATTTACAGAGTTTAACAATAGGTCTTACAAAAGTAGAAGACGCGGTCTTGACCTGAGCAACTCGCACCAGGCCATCCTTGTCAGGCTTACATTCGATGATTCTCGCAAGTTCCCATCTGCAGGGAGGTAAATTAGGATTTTTTATTAGAACAATATCGTTTATGCGAAATTCATCAGATCGATTCTGCCATTTAAAACGCTGCTGCAAGGTGTTCAAGTAGTCAAGACTCCACAATTTCCAAAATTGCTCGTATTTCGCACGCATTAATTGCCATCGATCGAGTCGTGACTCGGAGATATGTAAGACGCTCGGACTCGGAATCGATTTAATGGCGCTACCAATTAAAAAATGCCCTGGTGTGAGCGCATTGCAAGAATTTACATCGTCATGAAGTGCGGCGATCGGGCGCGAATTCAAACATGCTTCGATGTTACATAAAAGCGTGGTGAACTCTTCGACCGTAGGTGTGCAGGAACCAAGTATACGTCGCAAATGGTGCTTAACACTCTTAACACCTGCCTCCCACATGCCCCCAAAATGAGGGGCAGAAGGCGGAATGAAATGCCATTGAACTGGCTTTGACGCGAACTTCGCCTGCAGATCTACGTCGGCTTGAGTCTGTCGGATCGCTGTAACAAGTTCGCGATCCGCGCCTTGATAGGTAGTCGCGTTGTCGGAATAAAGATCGGATGGAATGCCACGACGCGCTACGAACCGTTCGAAAGATGCGAGAAACGCAGCCGTGGAATAATCATGAACGAGCTCTAAGTGTATAGCTCGTGTAGCGAGACAAACAAATAGCGAGATGTATGTTTTGTGCGACTTACGTCCGCGGCCGGAAGCGTCTCGAATTGCGAAGGGGCCGGCGTAATCAAGTCCCGTATGGCAAAATGGACGGGACGGAATTACTCTAAATGTAGGAAGGTCGGCCATAAATTGTACGCCGGTTATGGCGCGATGCCGAGTACATGTCACGCAATTGCGGATACAACCTTTTACCATGCTTCGCGCCCCCAGAATCCAATATTGTTCTCGCAACGTGCGAAGCATTAACTGTACACCGCCGTGAAGTGTATCCTTATGAATTTGATCGATAATGAGCTTAGAAAGGTAATGCTTTGGAAGTAGAATCGGAAATTTACGATCATATGAAAGGTCAGACAGTTGAAGTCGACCACCCACGCGTAGGATACCGGAGGGATCCAGGAACGGATCGAGAGAATGGATGGAGCATCGAACTGGTAACCTCGACTTGGCTTTGAAAGCGACGATTTCTTTTGAAAAGTATTCCGTTTGCATCTGTTTAATCCAGAATCTGTGCGCGGTTTTTATTTCATCGACTTGCAAAATAGAGAGACCTTGAGCAACATCTGGGACTCTCGTTCGAAACTTGAACCGAAGGACGTATGCGGTGACCCGTAGTAAGCGTGGCCACGTGGAGATATGATTGAAGGATTCAAAAAGTTCCGCTCGATTTGAATGATGCGAGTGGACTGCATTTGACGCTTTCAATTCGGAATCATCTTCGGTGCAACTTATCGTAGATTGAACTGGCCAATTATCCTCGTTAAATTTCAGCCATGCCGGGCCGTTCCACCAGGAACTGGAAGGCGTTAGCTGAGCTGGATTTATGCCGCGCGATGCGCAATCTGCGGGATTATCTTCTGTTGGCACATGCAGCCATGTCGCCGTAGGAAGCTTCGTTTGAATAGAAGACACTCTGTTAGCTACAAATACTTTTAAATCTGATGGAGCCTTTTGCAACCATGCTAATACGATTGTCGAGTCACTCCAGCAAAACACAGGAATGTTTTGCAATTTCATCGCGTCAATAGTAAACGAAATACAGCGTGCTAGCAGCTGAGCCGCACAGAGCTCGAGTCGTGGAATCGAAATCGTTTTAATCGGAGCAACCTTGGTTTTTGATAGAAGAAGTCGAACATGACTATCGCCAGAATTCGTGACAATTTTTGAATAGACTACCGCTGCATAGGCTTTAGATGAAGCGTCGCAAAAGCCGTGTAAATGCAAGCACTGAATGTTACGCTCGAAGCCTAACCAACGAGGAACTTGCAGAGTCGTCAAGTGTAACATCTTTTCGCAAAAAGCATTCCATTCGGTTGTTATTTCCGCAGGAAGAATATCATCCCATCCGTAGGAAAATTTCCACAGTTTTTGCAGTAGAATTTTGAGAGATATCGTGATCGGAGACACCCATCCGAGGGGATCGAATATTTTCGCTATCGTCGAAAGGATTTGTCGTTTCGAAATGTCGGTAGATGGTGGACGGAATTTTATTTCAAAGGAAAAATTATCATCGCAAGGTGTCCAATGAATACCGAGTATTTTTAATTGTTCACCTTCTTGGAAAGGCTTGGAACTTGCTAGACCGTGATTCGCAGGATTTATATCTTGTAGAATTTCAAAATCGTTGCTGGCCCATTTTCTGAGATGAATGCCTGCGCTTAGTAAACAGCCGATTAGTTGGTCGCGTTTTTTAATCGTGGATGGTTTATCATCGCCTCCGGATAGGACATCGTCAACGTATATTTCATTTTGCAAAATTGCTTGAGCTAGTGGAAAACGCGAACTCTCGTCGATTGAAAGTTGTTTGAGCACGCGTTGGGCGAGATAAGGCGCGCAGGCAGTACCATAAGTAACGGTATTTAATGAATAAGTATGGACTGGCTCGTTCGGAATCGTACGCCACAATATTAATTGATATTGGCGATCGTCTGAATGAATCTG